AAAAGTCAAGTGGTCTACCGTCAGCGTCGAAACGAAGAACTCGCGGAGTCGCCATAGTGAGAACTAACGCGAACGAACAGGCGAGTAACAACCGGGGAGAAGAGGCAAATTAGGGTTCAGGTGGGAAGGGGACTCAGTCGCAGCGGAAGAGCGGGCTAGGGCGTAGGGTAGGGCGACGGGCTAGGGCGTAGGGTAGGGCGACGGGCCAGGGCGTAGGGTAGGGCGACGGGCCAGGGCGTAGGGTAGGGCGACGGGCAAGGGCGTAGGGTAGGGCGACGGGCCAGGGCGTAGGGTAGGGCGACGGGCCAGGGCGTAGGGTAGGGCGACGGGCCAGGGCGTAGGGTAGGGCGACGGGCCAGGGCGTAGGGACGGGACAGGGCGACGCGACGGGGCAGGGCGGCGCGATGGGGCAGGGTGACGGGACGGGGCAGGGCGACGCGACGGGGCAGGGCGACGCGACGGGGCAGGGTGACGGGACGGGGCAGGGCGACGCGACGAGGCAGGGCGACGGGACGGGGCAGGGCGACGCGACGGGACAGGGCGACGGGACGGGGGGGAAAGGGCGGGCACGACGTGACGGGGGGAACGGGCGCGACGCGACGGGGGGAAAGAGCGCTAGGCGACGGGGGGAAAGGGCGCGACGCGACGGGGGGGGGGGGGGGGGGAAAGGGCGCTAGGCGACGGGGAGAAAGGGCGCTAAGCGACGGGGGAGAGGGCGCTAGGCTCGGTACTAGGCGCGGTAACAACGGAACCGGTACGAACGAGAGGTAGGATCAGGCTCGGGAGGGACGAACGGAGAACGGAGGAACGGGATCCCACAGGATCCTAACCTAGCTGATACCATGTCAAAATGAGGAATGATGATGCCATTGATGTTGGTTGGGGTACATATAACAAACCCTAACTTCTGTACCCCCTAAGACAAACCTCACTACAGGCTACAACATTTGACAATTACGTACTGCTTGACACGCAAAATCTGCGACTGTCCGACGTACCAAACTTCGACCTCGCTACTGTGGCCCATTCCAAGTTAGCCACATAATTACGCCAGTAACCCATCTACTGTTACTGACTGACTGGTACATCAGCCCATCATTCCACGTCAGCCTGCTTCGCCCTTACATCCCAACCACAAGCCAACTGCCTCGTCACCGCTCGCCATCCATGACTCGCCCTGCATCGGAGCCGACCATCGAGCCCGAGAAGATTCAGAGCCATTGGATTCGATGTCAGAATATTATCTTATTGTTCTAGCCTGTAGTGGGGTGCTCTATAGCGAGTACAACCCTTCTAGGGTTTGCTATTTGTATCCTCATTCTTGCTAGTTCAATTCTCTTTCTTTCTTCTAATTTTGACATGCTATCAGAGCAGGTCGATCCCCTTGGATCGATCCTGTGGGTATGTCCCCACCTTGCTTCCGCTGCTACTTTTTCCTCCCGCCGTGCGCCCCGAGGCGCGCGGCGGTTTTCTGCCCGCCGTGCGCCCCGAGGCGCGCGGCGGTTCATTGCCCGCTGTGCGCCCCGTGGCGCGCGGCGGGCTTCTCCCCTTCGTCGCGGACCCGCCCCGGCCCGTCGCCGCCCGTGCGCGTGCCCGGCTCGGCCCCGCCCTTCGTCGCGGACCCGCCCCGGCCCGTCGCCGCCCGTGCGCATGCCCGGCTCGGCCCCGCCCTTCGTCGCGGACCCGCCCCGGCCCGTCGCCGCCCGTGCGCCTGCCCGGCTCGGCCCCGCCCTTCGTCGCGGACCCGCCCCGGCCCGTCGCCGCCCGTGCGCCTGCCCGTCGCGGCCCCGCCCTACGTCGCGGCCCCGCCCTATGTCGCGGCCCCGCCCCTCGAAGCGGCCCCGCCTTACGTCGCGGCCCCGCCCCGCTCGTCGCGGCCCCGCCCCTTGTCGCGGCCCCGCCCTCCAACCAGGCTCGTGGTGGGCCCCTTTCACCACACCGCCTCCCCCCCCCCCCCCCCCCCCCCCCCCCCCCCCTGCCATTTCCCGTCGTCCGTCGTGGCGACCTGAGGGGGCCGCAAGCGGCCCCCTCAGGTCGCCACGACGGACGACGGGAGGGGCGAGCTGTGGGGTGGCGGGTATGGGGGTGGCCGGTGTGCCTTCCTCCCTTTCTCCTCCTCCTCCTTCGTCTCCCACTGCTGCAGCTGTCGCTGAGGGGGGTGGTTGTGTGGGAGACTGGGGTTTAGGGTTTTAGGGGGGTGCGTGGGAGTAGAGCTAGTGGTGTAGCAGTGGGTGTGTATCAGGGGGGTGGGACTGTGTGCGGGAGGATGAGCGGAGGTTGCCAGTTTGTCGTCAGCAGCACCTGTAGTCCGGGGCGCTGTCCCGGTAGCCCAGTCGTAGCCAGCTGTGCCAGCCGCCCGTGGGTCCGTTGCCCGTCCGCCGCTATTTGAGCCGCGGGGCCTGTTACCCCTGTAGTCCGGGCGCTGTCCGGTAGCCGCTGTGCCAGTCTGCCTCCTGTTGCCCGTGTGTCTGCAGCTTCAGCCGTCGCCTCCTGTCTCCTCTCCCCTCACTCTCCCTCCTCCTCCTCACTTGCCCGTTGTGACTACCACTAGCTTTGCTTATAATTGTAAACTCTAAACTATTTCTTCTTGAACTTGTGCTCAGAATGTGTGGTGACATTGTGATCCACCCTGAGCTTGTTTTGCTTTGCCTGCTCTGCTGATTACACCCCACTTTGGCTATGGGGGTGTGTCAGAATATTATCTTATTGTTCTAGCCTGTAGTGGGGTGCTCTATAGCGAGTACAACCCTTCTAGGGTTTGCTATTTGTATCCTCATTCTTGCTAGTTCAATTCTCTTTCTTTCTTCTAATTTTGACATTCGACACCCTACGGGAATCAGGAGGATCGAGTTTCTCGTTCGCTGGAAGGATCGCACGCCAACTGAGGATAGCTGGGTGCTCCTGGCCAACATCTAAAACCACCCTGCCTGGCAAGTGTACCTGATGAGCCGGGGTTTCTGCGATATACACGCGCTCGCGTAGCGGAGGGGGCTTCTTGAGGGGAGGGGGGGGGGGGGGGGGGGGGTAGCGTACGGAATTTTCTCGACATTCCTTACTGAGACCCGCAATGCCGCGTACAGCAGCAGCCGTTGTTCGCCCATTACTGCTAACGGGGCCTCGTTAACTTCGCGCACTGTTTCACCAAACCTTGCACTGCTGGCCCGGCCATGTCATCCTATGCTTCGGGACTAGCCCGAACTTCGCTGCCAACGTAGCACTAGCTAGCCCGCATGCACCGCATTACCGATTGCATTTTTCGCGTATAAATGTTCGCTCATGCATTCGCTCACATTTTGTACTCGTTTGATACTTAGTGCAATCATCGCTACCTCGATTCATTCCACCTGTAATATATAACATGCCTCTACATTTACTTACATATGTAAGCAAAGATACTCAAACTTAGAATAGAAGCCAGAAGTGATAGCCAATGTGCCAATCATAAATATAATACATTACCTCTGCTATCTTTGTAAAATGGAGATGACTGGATGTATGCGAACATTTTTTTACTTCTTTAATCACTATGAAAGCAGCAGGTCAAGCGACTGATTCCTGATTTCAGAAATTAAAGCCCTTATCAGCATAACGGAACGATTAAGTCTGTAGGTATATATTTCTCCATACTTATTTGAGGTCCTTTTGGTCATTTTAACAATCCATTTGGATCACTAGGATGGCATGGATGGAGGAGTCTAACATCTTGTTATATGATATATACAGTTAGATTTCATAATTCTAGTATACGCGACATTTTGGAGATGTCGCAGATGTGGTTTGAACTTTGAACATACAATTTGTAATGTGTGCCAGCAGAACTGACGTGGCACCAGCGTCAACCCTATCACTTGATTGTTGAGCTGCGGTCCCTGAGCTATCACGGGCCTGCTTGCGTCAGGAGGAGGACACAAACGGGCGTGACTGTTCCTTGTCAGGCGACATACGTGGCTGAGCAAGCAGGCTCAACACCCACGATTGACTTGGCACCACAATACACCACGCAAGAAGCTTCAGTAACCCACAATACTGCGCTGAAACATGTTGCATGAGTGATTCCAGGGGCGCAAACCTGATCTTCGGCTTATCACTGTGCCGCGTCCGCCCCCTTTCTCCGCTCTGGCGCGCCGAACCCCTGCCCGTCCCGCCATGGATCAAGCCCATTCACCCGCATATCCGCACTCTGGGAACCAGAATCCAGGCAGCCAGGCGGAGCGAGCAGGCGTCATGTTGGGCGTCTGTTGGTGCGTCTTCTCTCAGGAGTCAGGTGGCAGGTGCCTTTGCCTCCCAGGCTCCCAGTCCAGCTCCTATTTCACATGCGCTCGAAACCCTACCTGCTGTTCCAGGTGACCTACCTTGCAACGATCGATTGCTGGCTCTCGGTTCTGCTGCTGCTTGGAGCCTAGCTGCCATGTTCAAGCACAAGGTCAGACACTTGATTGACATGCCATCCATTTTTTTCCCGCGTAAACCGCCGTTAGTCTATTCACCGTTTCGTTAGTGATTTGCCGACTTAGTGCATCCGTAATGTCGTTACTTGCGCTTTTTTAGGATTTCATTCATTTGCCGATGAGATTATTTCCATGCCTTTCAACTGCACTTACCTTCACGACTGCCGCGTGTGTTAGCGAATTACTTTCGCATGTTGTTCGTAGCTAAACTATATAGTGTTAGCATCGCCTGCCATCGTTCCCGGCATTACGGGCTGTCATTCGGGCTTATTTGTCGACGCCTGGTCCTATTTTTCTTCTCGTCCTGCTCTTGTCGTTATGTCGTTCTCTCCGTATCTCCCTAACTCTTGTCTTCCTTTTCTCTCTGCCACCACACCCGTCTCCCCTCTTCTTGCTGCCTCCCGCTCCTTCAGATTCGGTCTAAGGCCTTCGAGTTGGTATTTTCTCGTTGACGTCACATCTTGGATCGAACCATCACGTTTTCCGCAATTAGTTAGTGTTAGTATACGGCGTATCCCTATACTCGATCCGATCGAGCCACGCTAGTCAATAATGGACAATTTACCGGCGGGGTTTGACAAGGATCTGTTAAAGGCGGCACTGGCATCGCTACGCGATGAGGACAGTAGCGGCAGCGGGGGCGGGGGAATGGAGTTGACGGACGATTTGGTCTCCCGCGTGGGGCAGCGCCTGCAGCACCTGCAGGCCCTCGCCGCCGCGCGGGCGCCGCCCAAGTCCCCTGCACTTGCGCCCAACTCCCCCGCAGTTGCGCCCAATTCCCCCGCTGTAGCTGCGCGTGACGGTCAAGGGGGAAGTGTGTTGGGTTCCCCCGCCCCACAGGCGTTGGAGGCTCAAAGAGTGGATCAAGGGGAGCAGGCGGAACAAGGCCGTAACGAGTTCGGCGCGGATGGCGCAGGGGATCATAATGCTGGAGACGCCGAACCAATCGGGGACTCGCAGCGTGCTGTAGCGCATACGGGGCCCGCTATAGCGGACACTGGGCGGAAGGATCATGAGGGGGCGGATGGTGAAGGGGGAGCGGGGACAGACGGGGCGAAAGACGCGCAGGGCGGAAGCTCGGAGGCGGGCGGAGCGGAACAGACAGGACAGGAGGGCGGGGAGGGAACAGCGCCCCTGGCCGCGGGAGACGCGAATGGGGGCCTAGTCAAAAGGGCTGGGGAAGGTGAAGGGGAAGGGGCGGAGGGCGCGATGGGCGGAATTTCCAGTGCGCCAGTTGCGCAGACGAACACTGCTCCGGTAGCGGGAGCGGTGGCGCACGCGGATGAGGAGAAGGCGGAGAAGATTGTGTTGGCGGGATACAGCAACGACCGCGACCAGCGAAGCAACGATCACGAACATCAACATGCACAGGGGCACGCGCAAGGGCACGCGCAAGGGCACGCGCAAGGGCACGCGCAAGGGTACGCGCAAGGGCATGCGCAAGGGCATGCGCATGGGCAAGCGCATGGGCAAGGGCAAGAGCAGGGGCAAGGGCTAGGCGCGAGCCTCCAGCTGCCGTCCACCGCTGGCGCGCAGGATATAGCGCACGCTGCGGGGGAAAACAATAGCCCCGCGCAGGCCGCAGGGGTGCAAGCGGGCGGAGAAGCGGCAACGGGACGCGGAACCGACTCTTTTGCAGAAGAGAGACCGGGGAACGGGGGGGCGGGCGGGGAAGGGTCGGATGGGATGGGCGGAGAAGGGGGGGACGGCGGAGAGGACGAGGATTCGGAAGAGGGCGTGGAGAAGGAGGCGAGCCGCATGCTGTCGTCGCAGTACCGCGGGGTGGTGCCGCAGCCCAACGGGCGGTGGGGCGCGCAGATCTACGAGAAGCACAGCCGCGTGTGGCTCGGCACGTTCAACGGCGAGGAGGACGCGGCGCGCGCTTACGACCGCGCCGCGCTCAAGTTCCGAGGGAGGGATGCGATGACGAACTTTCGGCCGATGCCCGAGTCGCACCCCGAGATCTGCTTCATCATGTCGCAGCCCAAAGAGAAGGTGCGCTCCCTCACTCGCCGCTCCCGCTCCCACATGCTCCGCCCCCCGCCTCCCTCCCTCCGGCCTCCTCCCCCCGCGCTCCTCCCCCCCACTTCCTCCCCTCTGCCTCTTCCCCCACCGCGCTTTTTCCGCCTTTCGACCTGCCTGGTTTGATCTCTGCTCCCCGCATCCGCCCTCACCCGCCTGTCGTGTTTCTGCTCCGCCCTTCATGGGGCTATCATCACTTTCCTCTCTCTTTCTTTGCACCCGCTCTCTCCTCCGTTACCCTGCCCCCTCAGTCAAATGTTTCTGCCCTCGTCCCGCTCTGCGCCCTGCGCCATGCGCCATCTCTCTTCCCCCACGTCGTATGCCGTCTGATTCTTCCCCTTTCTCCTGCCCCCATCCCCGCCACTCTCCCCCATCCAAATCCACGTCCCCGCGCGCAGCTGGTGGACATGCTGCGCAAGCACACATTCGAGAATGGACTTACCGAGTCGACTCCAGATTTAACATGCACCCCCACTTTTTCCCCGCTTCCCCACTTCTCCTCCCCTCGCTGCGCGCAGCTGGTGGACATGCTGCGCAAGCACACGTTCGAGGAAGAACTCGCCAACGCGAACCTTGCGGAAGCCGCCACGTCTCCGCCTGCGCAGCCCAACGCGCACGCGCTCGCGCTCCCCGCGCCTTCCACGCAGCATGGGCAAGGGCAGGGCGCGCTGATGCTGCCGACGCAGGGACAGGCGCATCCCCACGACCCCCCTTACCCTGGACATTCCCCGCTCTCGCTTCCGCCATCCGCGCATCTCCACCCCGCGTCCTCCGGTTTCCCCGCCGGTTCCTCCCCCTCTGCGCCGCTCGGCCCAGGTCGCCCCGCGCAAGACGGCGCGGGGACGCCCCTCCGCATCGTTGGGAGCGCCGGCGCTCCCGCAGGCGCGGGAATGGGTGGCGGGCGGGAACTGGGGTTCCCCGCTGCGGACGCGGCGCAGTCAGGCGGAGGGGGGTTCCATGGGGGAGGGGGCGGAGCAGGGGGAGGAGCGGGACCAGGCGGGTATGGCGGAGGGGCCGGCCAGGTGATGGGGGCAGCCGGGGGAGGCGCAATGGCAGGATCGATGGGGGGAGGCATGGGCGGAGCGATGGGCGGAGGCGGCGGGGGCGGGGGTGGCGGGGGTGGCGTGAGCATGGCGGGGAAGGAGCATCTGTTTGAGAAGGCGGTGACGCCGAGCGACGTGGGGAAGCTGAACCGGCTGGTGATTCCCAAGCAGCACGCGGAGCGCTGCTTCCCGCTCGACCCCAACCTGCCCACGCCCGCCATGACTCTCTCGTTTGAGGATGAAGCTGGGAAACACTGGCGCTTCCGGTGAGTTTTGAGACAACTATTCAGAAGGTGTGCGTTTTATGCGACTCAAGACGCACCTCGACCCCAACCTGCCCACGCCCGCCATGACCCTCTCCTTTGAGGACAAAGCTGGGAAACTCTGGCGCTTCCGGTGAGATCCGCGCCCACTTGCATAGCGACAGTTTTAGCCGTAGCCGTAGCCTTCCTGCTCGACCCCGACCTGCCCACGCCCGCCATGATGCTCTCCTTCGAGTACGAAGCTGGCAAACTCTGGCGCTTCCGGTGAGTTCTGTACCCACACCCCACACCCTCAACCTTCGCTGCAGCCGTACCTTTACCCTTAGCTGTAGCTTTAACCGCTCGACCCCAACCTGCCCACGCCCGCCATGACGCTTTCTTTTGAGGACGAGGCTGGCAAGCACTGGCGCTTCCGGTAGGACTCTTAGCCACACCCACAGCCGTCGCCCCTCAATTCCAGCCTATGCCATGCTCCCCCTCCCCCCCTCCTCCCCTCCTTCTCCCCAGGTCCTCGTATTGGAACAGCAGTCAGAGCTACGTGCTGACCAAGGGGTGGAGCCGCTTCGTCAAGGAAAAGCTATTGGTTCTGGGGGGCATCGTTCAATGTCACAGGGGCACCTTCTGAGGCGCCTAAACACTCCCTCCACTCTCCCCCTCCTACTCTCCGTCTCCCCGCGCAGGTATTCGTACTGGAACAGCAGTCAGAGCTACGTGTTGACCAAGGGGTGGAGCCGCTTCGTCAAGGAGAAGCTTCTAGTCCCGGGGGACATCGTCTACTTCCACAGGGGCACCTTTTCAGGCGCCTCAACACTCCCGCCACACCCCCATCCCCCTCTCGCCCACGCAGGTACTCGTATTGGAACAGCAGTCAGAGCTACGTGTTGACCAAGGGGTGGAGCCGCTTCGTCAAGGAAAAGCTGCTCGTCCCGGGAGACATAGTCTACTTTCACAGGGGCACCGCGGGTGACCTCTTTATAGGCTTCCGCCGCCGCCCCGCGCAGGGCTTCGCGCCCTCCGCCGCCGCATCCAGCGGGGGCGCGGGCGCCGCGCTGGGCTCCGCGGACGGGGCGCAAGACGACCCCATGGGGCTGCAGGGGAGGTCCTGGCGGAGGCCCTCCCCGCCCCGCCAGGCGGGCGGGGCGTATGGGGGGTTTGGGGGAGGCGGGCAGCGGAGAGCGGACGGGGGAGGGTATGGGCGGGACGAGGGGGAGGATAGTATGGATGGGGAGGTGGGGAGTGTAGGCGGGGGCGGGGGAGGGGGCGGGGGAGGGGGCGGGGCGGAGCAGGGGAAGCTGGGCGCGAGCAATCTCGCGGCGCTGGCTGCAGCGAAGCTTCCTGCGTCGCTGCTGGCACAGCTGGGCCCGTCGGGCGTGGCGCAGCTGGCGTCACTGCTGACGTCAGTGTCAGGTCAGGGTGGGCTGACCCCTGCCGTGCTGCTCTCTCATATCCAGCAAATTCAACGTCAGAAGCAGCAACAGCAGCAGCAGCAGCAACAGGCGCCGTTGCAGCACCAAGAGCAGAAAGAGGAGGAACTGGAGGAGGAAGAGGAGGACGAGGAAGACCACTTGCAGCAGCAGGGGCATGGGCAGGGAGGGGGTGCGATGGAGGGCGAGGGGGCAGTGAGCGAGATAGTCCCTGGGGTGGTGAAGGGTTCAGTACAGGAGCAGCTGGTGAATGCCGCAGTGGCTAAGGGGCTGGCTGCGGGGCTGTCGAGGGACCAGATCGTGTCGTCCATTGCCGCCCTGCTCGCGCAGCAGCAGGCCATGCGCAACTCCTCCTCCGCTACAGACAAAGCCGGTGATGCGCACGGCGGGGCGGCGCCGCATGGAGACGGCGGCGCGGGGGGAATGAGTGCGCCGTCTTTGCTGGTAGCGCCTGGGGCAGCGGGGGCGGGAGGGGCAACAGGTCCAGGGGGAGGAATGGGGGGAATGGGGGGGATGGGGGGCATGAATACAGATGGTCACGAGCCAGAGGGAGCATGGGAGCAGGGCGGTCCGCCCCAGGCTCCCCCTTCTCTCCACCCGCCCCTCTTCCACATGCCACAGTCGCTACCTCCCCTGGGTGGCACTCGGCCAGGGGGGTACGGAGGGGCGGGGGGCCTGGCGGGGAGGAAGCGGGCAGCGCCGGAGGACTCAGCAGAGCCGTCGGGGAGTCGGGGGGACGTGGGGGACGGGGGCGCGGACGATGGCGCGTCCATGGCGTCTGGCATGGGCGGGGGGAAGCGCTTGGCGTCCCTTGCTGCTGCTGGCAGTGCGGCTGCTGGTGAGGGTGGCGGGGGGAGTTTCGGGGGAGGTGGTGGAGGGTTAGGTGGGTTGATGGGTGCGCGGATGAGTGGGCTTGGTGACGCTGGTAGGGAGGCTTCTGGCGGCTCTCCCTTTTACCAGCACCAGCAGCAACACAACCAGCAGCAGAACCAACAGATGCCACAGATGCAGCAGCAGTCACGGGGAGGGTTCATGGGAGCAGCAGGTGGTGTGGCAGGCGGAGCAGGGACAGGAGGCGGCGGAGGTGGTGGTGGTGGTGGTGGTGGGGGCAGAGGGGGCTCCCCCCCCTCCAGCCTGGGCCCTGAGCGCTCAGGCAACTCCTCCCCTGGTGCTGCAGGCGCGGGCATGATGGGGGGCGCGGGGGATGGCGCAGGGGGAGGCGGAGGTGGATTGGGGGGGCTGTCAGGGTCAGCAGACGCAGCAGGCTTGGGAGCAGGGAGCATGGCGGATAACGCAGGGGGAGCGGGCGCGAGGGGCGGGGCATTAGGGGGAGGGGGAGGGGGAGGGGGAGGGGGAGGGGGAGGAGGAGGAGGCGGAGGCGCGGGGGGAGAGGAGAGCTTGAGAGTGAAGTGCTTTGTGGAAGGGTCACCGTTTGGTGTGTCGGTGGATTTGAGTCGGTTCCAGTCGACGCAGGAGCTGAGGGAGGCGCTGCTGTCAGTCACAGAGGGGTCGTCTGTGGTGTACCAGGACCGTGAGGGGGATATGATTCTGCTGGGTGACGAGTCATGGGAGTTCTTTCTCAAGTCGGTGCGACGCATGTACATCCGCCGGTGACGTGCTGTGCTCGTGAGTTGCCGGAGCTGACAGAGGGGTCGAACGTGGTGTATCAGGGCCGAGAGGGCGACATGGTCCTCCTGGGAGATGAGTCCTGGGAGTTCTTTTTGAAGTCGGTGCGGCGCATATACATCCGCTGGTGACTCCGGGCTTGGGAGGTGCCTAAGCTGGCAGGGAGCTGGGGTTGCTTGTGGCGCACGTCGTCACACACAGGGATGATCCTGCAGCTGCCTGGGGCGAGTCGTGAGGGTGCACTGCTTGTCATCACTCACCCTGTTGAGGTTCCGGTGGTTTGAAGTGTGTCACTGAGGTGCATGTACATTCGCTGCTGAGTACATGGTCGACACGGGTGGGGGCTAGCAGACCCCCTTTAGGTAACAAGGTATAGCAGCCATTGATGTACGGTACGTACCTTTGTGGGCTGCCTATCAATAATAAATCAGCCGGTTTTTGTTTTAGGGTCTACTGTAGGATTAGCTGTAATTGCTTCAGGTTATTGGACAGCCCAATCTGATGGTTAAGTCGTGGGAATGTAGCCCAACCTTGCTGCGAGGTCATTAATAAATGCTGTCAAGGCCGAGCTGAAACTCAACAGCTGTTGTATCTGAAAATTTCTAACGATAACGTATCTGATTATGGTGACTCTTGGTGACGGGCGGCAATCCCGATATCCATCAGAATTCCTTTGTCGGAAGCCTCGTAACTAGAATGACGGCGACAATTTGCGAGAGCAGACGACAGTTCCCAAGGTCGCCTGACACCTGGTCACGAATCAGCATTCGTCCAGGCCTGTCGCGATTTGATGGCCCGTCAATTCAGAGTTGCGGGTGACACCTGGGGATCACTCTTTCCCCCTTCCCCCCCTCCTCCCCCTTTCACCTCCACGAAACGCAGTCTCCCGAATACCCCTTCCATGCCCTTTCTCTCCCGCAAATCCCCCTTCCAGTTCAGCGAAGGCCTATTTTTGCTCGGATTCTTCACTCACTCCAGTGTCAGGTTTGATCTCGGTTCCGCTCTAACGAATTCTTGCATTGGAGCCCGAGATCCGTCCCGAGTCCTCGTCTCGTCTCCAGGTTCGTCGCCATGTCTGAGCTCGAGATTAGATTCAAGAAGGCCGCGTACCTGATCCGCAATGGCCCGCCGAATCCCAAGGCGACCACGGAGGAGAAGCTCAAGTACTACTCCTACTTCAAGCAGGCCACGGAGGGCGACGTGAAGGGATCCCAGGTACTTTTAAAATTCTCAGAATGTCCCCTGGTAGGATAATGTTCATCGTTGTTTCGCTTGAGAATGACTCCGCCTTAGCGACTGTACGAGTGGCTTCATTGGCACACGCTCCTGTTTACGTTCTACCCTACCCCACGTCTTATGGCGTCTCGTCTTTCGCACGTCACGGACCTTCCCCCGAGTCCTAACCTTTTCGCGACGCTTCTCTTCCGTTGTGCATGACAGCCGCTGTTCATTCAATTCGAGGCGCGGCAGAAGTGGGACGCGTGGAACGCGATCAAGGGCATGTCGGCGGAGGAGGCGATGCAGAAGTATATCGATCTGCTCGCCGCCGACGACCCCAACTGGGAGTCGCACCCCGTGCTCGCCGACTTCAAGCCCGAATAATCTCCAGTTTCGAAAATATAGATTCCAAGAAATCCGTTGGTGAATGCACCATGCCATGCAGGCCCAGCCTGGCGTGGTGACGCTGAGCCTTTTTGTTTTTTTACAATGCGTTTTCCTGTGTTGTTATGGTTAGGGGTTAGTGCAGCCTGACAGGCCATGCTGGTCTCATCGCTATGTTCAGGGATGGAAGAAAAATGAATATTCATGGTTCGCCCTTAGTGAATCTCAGCCCAACAAGTGTCATGTGGCTCCTTTCCATGTGGGCTCGCTAGGCTATCCAGTATTGAGCCAATCAGTTCATATACAGGAATGCTCCAAGAAGCCTTAGAGCGTGTTCCTACTGACACAATGAGAAATACAGCGGAATGCGTTGTGTTGACAGGATTGGGGTACATCACCTAACCCTAACTAGTTGTACCCCATATAGCCCAACCCACTACAAGCTATAATATTTGACACACCCCCATAGCCTAAGTGGGGAAGGCCAATCAACAACAAGCAACCTACGGTCACAAGACCAGTCAAAAACAAGAGAAAGAAAACAAAGCTCAGGGTGGATCACAACGTCACCACCTAATCTGAGCACAAGCAAAGGGCCACAAGGCCAGTCCAAAAGTGTGCAAACAAATATATATATATAAGGTACAAGCAAGCAACAGACAAAGAGCACCCTACAGCAGTCAACTAGATCCAGTCTCAACGAGGCCTAACTGCAGACAAAACCGACGGTGGTCACAAGGCTGGAGGGCCTTGGTGAAGATGTCTGCAGTGTTGGCCTCGGAGGCCACAAAGTCCAGACGAGCCTGTCCGCGTCTCTGCAACTCTCGAAGGAGGAAGTACCTGACGTCGATGTGCTTCACTCGGCTCTCCAGTCGAGGCTCACGACACAGGAGAATCATCGCCCTGTTGTCAGCAAACAGGGTCGGTGCAGAGCTCGGCCGCTCACCAAGGTCAGTGAGCAAAAAGGTCAACCAGCGTAGCTCCTGAGCAGCAAGGGCCCCAGCGTAGATCTCGGCCTCTGCGGTAGAAGTCGCAACAGAGGAGGACCGAGTAGACCTCCACGAAACAGCTCCAGAACCCAGGCTGAAACAGTAACCCTGCGTAGACCTCTGAGTCTCAACGTCGTCAGCGTAGGAAGAGTCACAGTGACCGGTGAGTACAACTGGCTGTGTCCCTCCAAGTACAAGCCCCATGCCTGATGTCGCGCCAAGGTACTTCGCCACCCTCTTAGCCGCCGCCCAGTGAACAGGACGGTGTCTCCCAGTCGCAACAAAGCGAGACAGGATGCTAAGGGGGAAGGCGAGGTCCGGGCGAGTGCACGTCATCAGGTACATGAGGCAGCCCACCAGCTCTGCGTAGGGACCACTGGGCTCGAACGGCTCGTCAGGAAAAGGCCTAGTGAGTCTGTGGTCTACAGCAAGAGGAGTGGGGGCAGGAGAAGAGTCCTGAAGCCAGAACCGCTGAAGAACCTGCTGCACCATGTGTGACTGAGTGAGAGTGATGGTGCGAGCGGCTCTGTCCCTGGAGATCTGCAGGCCAAGGTAGCGGCGCAGTTCCCCAAGGTCAGTGCAGGTGTGTCTCTTCTGCAGTTCGGACTTCACCTCCGCCAGTGCAGCTGTGTCGGCCGTGGCAAAAACCAAGTCGTCAACGTAGACTAGGACGAAGAAAGGTGTACGGCCACGACGAACAAACAGCGACGGGTCGGCGGAAGACGGCTCAAACCCGAGGTCGGAGAGAGTAGAGCGGAGAGTGTCGTGCCACTCACGGGGTGCCTGGCGGAGACCGTAGACCGGTCGTCTGAGGCTCCACTGGGTCCCAGGCGGGAAAGTGTCAGTGAAGCCCGGAGGACGACGCAGCCAGATCTCCTCGTGTAAGCAGTCCTGGAGGAAGGCAGTGGAGAAGTCAAGAGAGTGTAGCTCGTAGTCTCTCTGCGCTGCTACGTGCAGTAACACCCGAAGAGTGGTCATCTTCGGGGTGGGCGCGAAGGTCTGAAAGAAGTCAACCCCCTCGCGCTGACTGAACCCTCTAGCCACGTAGCGTGCCTTGAAGACTGGGGGAGATCCCGGCGGCCGCTTCACCTTGAAGATCCACATGCCGTCAACAATGTTCGCCCCTGGGGGGGGAACCTCGTCAACGTAAGTGCCTGTGGACCTGTAGGAGGCCATCTCTGCGTCCATGGTAGCTCTCCACTGAGAGGCCCAAGGCCCTAACACTGCCTCAGCGTAAGTGCGAGGAGTAGGTATGTCAGGAGCGTCGGGGTCTCCCTCAGGAGTGAGCAGCATGGCACAGATATGAGGCGAAGCAGCTGCCAGGAACTCTAGCTCAAACTGTCTGTCCTCTAGGACGTCACAGCCAAGGGCACACACACCCCCGGCGGACAGAGGACGGACAGGAGGAGCTGCCACAACTCGAGTGGCGTAGTCAAGGCGACGCGTAGCAGTAAAGTTAGTGACAGCGGCAGTGAGGACCGCGACTGAGGAAGGAGAGGCACGAGGGTCTGTAACAAGAGAGGCGAGAACACGAGAGAGAGTGGGGCGGTACGTGCGGTAGTAGTCAGTGACCGGAGTGGACAGGGAGGCAGTGAGGGAAGACTCAGGAGGACGAGGAAGGACAGACGGAGGAGAACGAGGAGGACAAGGACGAAACAACACGGTACGGAGGTCAGTGACAGGGGACGAGGGACGAGCACGAGGAGGGCGAGAGGCCCAAGTGTGGGCGAGAGGAGGGGGGGACGGAGGAGACTGAGAACGAGGGAAGACAGCCGGAGTGGAGTCCGGAGGAGGAAACGTGGGACCGAACACAAGAGGAGAGGAGGGGAGACCAAGGGCCCGAAGGCCAGAAACAGGGGCCGGAGGCTGCTCCGGCAGCTGCGGCGGCTGCTCCGGCAGCTGCGGCGGCTGCTGCTGCTGCTGCTGTGGATGTGGCTGCGGCTGCTGGTGCTGCTGCTGCTGCTGCTGCTGCTGCTGCTGCTGCTGAAACTCTAACCGCTCACGCTCCACCCGCTGCTGAACCTCCGACCTCTCACGCTCCAAACGCTGCTGCTCCTCACGCTCTAGACGACGAAGGGCCTGGTAACGAGTCGGGTAGGGGTGAGGAGGAGGAGTGGTGTCAGGAGACGACGAAGAAGAACCGGCTCCACCCTCGACAGGACCCGGCTGAGCACCCCCAGAGCGAGGACCCCCTGCGGCAGCACGACCAGTACCTGTAGGAGGTGTACCCGCACCCCCAGTCGTGGCGCCGCCAGTGGCACCAGCACCAGCCCCAGACTCTCCAGCTCCAGAAACACCACCAGCTCCAGCACCACCACCGACTCCAACACGCTCGGGACGTGCAGCTGCGGCAGGTGCACGCTCAGCTCCAACTCCAACACCCCCAGAACCAGCACC